CCCTCAGAGAGCCCAGGCGATATCTGCAGCACTGCATGGAGAAACCCCAGCACAAAAATCCTAATTTCTTCCTTTGGTAACTCATTGCAGCAGCTCCCCATCACACAGCTAGAAATCTTCACTGTCATGGAGTTAATTCTCCCTTGCCACAAGCTGCCTGTTCAAGACCTGGTTAGAGCTTAAGAGACAAGGAAAATATTCGAAGTCATGTTTTAAAGGCCTCTAACATTTTAGTTCTTTTCCAAATTCCGAATGAGGAGCTGCAGAATTCTACATAAAACAGCCCACTGAAAAATGGAATAGTAATTTCTAACATATCCTTTCAGGAAAGTCCTAATCTTTGTATGTTTGGGGCACTGCTGGCCAGCAGTGAGTTTATGACCCCCTAAAAGACCTGCTCCAGTTTCTCCTGCACCAGAACCTTCACCATCAGTTCACATCATTTGTTTTCTTCCCCTCTGAATTGTGTTTTTTTAATTTGTTCTAATAAATTGTAGCTTAATACATGAAAAAAACCTGAAATATTGTACTCTAGAGCTGCATCATCCCAATATCCAACCCACTGATGAAAACACCCAACTCCTGCAGCATCCCACAGAACCTCACAGTTGTTCAACTTTAGACTGAGCCTTCCAATGTGCTTAAGATAATAAAGCTCCCAAATAATTTCAGTATCAAGAGGCTTACAGACTTGAAAATCTTTTCCATATCTGTCACCTCTGACATCCATGAGGTCACTTACCCTGCAAATGGGATGAGAGGGCTTTGCTGGTTCATTTTGCGTCAGCACACATCTGGAGCTTCCCAATTCATTCCCTCCCAGGTCCTTAAAATACTAAGAACTCACTAAGCACAGTCAGAGTTCATATCCTTTGACTGAACACTCGCTTGCTCTCATTAAGAATATTTTCACTTTTTAATTTCTATGTATTTTGCTCATAAACCTCCTTTGGATTCTCTATTACTATAACCTGAAAGGCAAATAGTGCTGATTCAGAGGCCACGATCTCTGAGTTCTTGGGCACACCAAGTCTTATAATCTTGTACTGAAAAGTATAATACAGTCAAACACTATTCTAAATTACTGGTGGTCTTCTGTTTTGTTTTTTAATTATATGTAGCATGGAATTAGAAACATTTTAACATATTACAAGCAATTCAAAGACACCTCCTGGTCACTGTATTCCATTAACAAATATTTAACTCTCCATTTTAAAACATCCTTTTGAAAGAAACTTGCCTAGTTATTCCTTAACACTAAACATGTCTTAAAGCTTCTTACAGCATCAGTCAACTTTTGAGGCTGCTCTTATGTTTTTTCACTAATTTACTCAAGTTCTAAAGTATTTCATCGATGACTTAAAATAGTTTTTCGGACACCAAGTGTCTTCCAAAAGCAAGCATCTGAACTGGTGGTGACGCTTCCTGTGACTTCGGAGGACACCAGCAGCAGGAGCTGTTAAATTGTCCTCAGCAGCATCACCACGAAAAAGGAGATGAATAATTTCTATTCAAACCCCAGAGAGCCATTAGATAGCAGGAAAACAACTTCCTGAGCTGCTGTTTTGCTGAGACACCGGAGCTCACGCCCTGCCAAGCATTAAGGAAATGTAACGTTTCTCGATTGTGTGAATTCCTGTTTCACTGAAACAGGATATTGTTCCCCAGACACCATCATTTCAATGCTAGTCGAGGATGACCACTTTATTCACAAGTATTATTTTCCTTTTGGCACAAACATGGACCTTTCAACCTCACATTTCGGTGAGTCTGAGGAAAGCAAAAAGAGGCTCATTTTAAGCCTCCCTCTTTTACGCTCACCTTTATTAAAGCATGCAATTTTCAGGTAATAAAAATAATTTATTCCCTCTTTTACAACAACAGAATGCTGCAGGAAGTAAAAATGTTACACAAGGGGACAGTATTTGTACACCACCATTTTTGGCATGATAGAGACCACAGGGCTTTTATACAGCTGAGGAGTCAGTGTATGAAATGCTTGGCATGTAAAAAGGGCTAGGAAGGAAGACAAGGTTTGTGGATAGCAGAGTCTGAAATCCCTCCTGTTTCCTAAATGACTGCATTTAAATATTCAGAAATTCAAAAATCATTTTTGTTGCAACTGTTAAATATATTTTAAAAATTTACTAGAACCGTCAGTGGAGCTTCCACTTCCTGCAGGGGATTGCTGCAGCCAAAAAATGTTACCAAGAGTTTTGAAACCAACTCCACGATAGAAATCTCTCTGCGCACGATTTATTTTTTTAAGCAGTTCAATTCTCTCTTTCAGAAGAGCATTATTTTAAAGATATACTTCGATCTCACCCTTCATCCACACGAGCACATTCAGCTTTCACGGAAATCAGAGGGGAGTTCCTAAAAATTACGGGGGCTTTGCCCTTTGGAGTCTGACAACTAATGAACCTCTGCCCATCCCTGAGGCACCTTGCTCAAGACAAATCCAGAGATAAATCCTTGCTCTCGTGCCCCAGATCCCTCAGGCCTCAGCAGGGATGTCTGGGAACACTCACCTGCAAGAAATGCCTCCCCTGAGGGCTGAAGGCAGTTTTGCTTCTGAGTGGGAAATGTTTTGTATATGGAAATATTTTGTGTTCTAACCTTGACTGTCACCCACGGTGGGGCACCCACATCCCTGCCAGGCTGCAGGTTCTCCTTGTTACAAATGGAGTGCCGGGACGAGGGGGAATGGTTCTGAACTGAAGGAGGGCAGGTTTAGATTGGATATTGAGAAAGAATTCTTCCCTGTGAGGGGGGGGAGGCCCTGGCACAGGTTGCCCAGAGAAGCTGTGGCTGCTCCATCCCTGGGAGTGTCCAAGGCCAGGTTGGACAGGGCTTGGAGCAACCTGGGCTAGTGGAAGGTGTCCCTGCCCATGGTAGGGGTGGAATTAGGTGATCTTTAAGGTCCCTCCCAACCCAAACCATTCTGTGATTCTATTATTATTAAATAAATTTAACTGACAATTATTCTAATGATGTATTTGTAAGTATTGCCTCATTTATATTAAAAGTACAGAGCACAATAATGTAACAATATCTTAATACACGATAAATATTATTATATAATTATTACCCTGGAAAATTAATTTTATTAATGAAACTATTACTCTCACAATAAACGGAAAGGTTACATCATGCAAAGCCAGTGGAGAATTTGAGTACACAAATTAATTGTGCACCTGCACGAAGTAATTTAGAAAAGGATGTTTTAATATTTAAAACTCTGCTAAATATTATGATAAGCTTTATAGCACACTACATTTCAGAACAAAGCTTGCAGTGATTGGGGTAGGAATAAGTTTCTGAATTTTAAAAGGGTTGACATTATAGTCAAACATTTCAGTAAATTAAAGTATAACATTCTCCAATCCTCTTTGTGTAATAGGACCCACTAATGTAGCACAATTTCAATAAAACATATTTATTTTCTGATTGCTTTTAATCTGCAAAGTGTTTTTCAGATATTGCTTCTGTGTAAATATTGAAAATTATCATTTGGTAACCCAAATACCAAAATAAGGCATTAGACTGATTTATTTAATCATCAAGGCCAAAAACCAAATCACGAAATGCACCAGCAATATTAAAGACTATTAACAACCTGTCACAGAACAGATTCTATAACCATGAAGAGATTCGTGATAAAAATTAAATGGTCTCACACACAAATGTGTGTTCTCATTTCTGAACTTTGGGTGAAAACCCTGAAGAACCCATCTTGAAAAAAAAAAAACCATCAGGAACTCTTTCAAGAGCCAAATCATTCATGAGAGACACAGCAGAGCTACCCATGAGTGTCACCACTAAAACTGTTCATCAACAGCAACTTTAATTAACAACTTAAATCACGACTGAGCACTAAGTTAAAACTAGAACAGGACAACCTGAGCAAGGTAACTACATTCCTAACTTAAGCACTTTTCTTACACACCCAAATTTAATAATGTAAAATATTTTAAAATTCAACTTCTAAAAATTCTTCTCAGTCCTTCGACATGTCCCTGGATTTAAATTTAAAAATGAGAGAACTTTTTAATATCTGAAATTTTCCGAAACCCCTTGTGGCTTCTGCCCATATATTGCTGGCTGCCCTCACGGCTGGAATATTAAACAATTCATGAGAAGCTCATTAAAACCTAACAAGACAAGTCTTCTGGTGCATCTCATCAGAGCAGATAATAGCCTACAATCTAGAGCATGAATATAAGAAACAAAACAGAGCCTTTCAGACAAAGAACACTTGGAATGCATTGTTCCCATAAGCAGATGTTAAATTACTTCACTGTAAAGTGGGATTTATAAAACCCAAAGAAATTGTTATTTTTCTGTGAACAAACAGGATGAGTTCATTATTTCAGCAGGTGACACCAAGGTCCTGCACACGTGTCTCCCTGTGTAGGCAGAGGTGTTGAAAGGAAGAACTGGTTGTTGACCAAAAATGCAACATGTACAGAAAAGTACTGACAGAGCAGGATGCAATGGGTGTATCCAGACTGCCAGACTGGCTCAAACATGACAGTAATTCTTAAAAAAAACTTAGATAAGCCAGCTGGCTCGAGATTAAACTATCATTTAATTGGAGCTGTAGATCCTTGTGTGCAGAGAGACAAGGACCAGAGACAGCTCAGAGATACACCTTGAGATAAGATGGATACAAAGAAAGCTCAGAAAATGCCTCAGAGCCTTTCCTGGGAATTGTTAACATCAAATACACCCCACAGAAAGCAAACAAAATCAAATGCTGACTTCATGCCTGGGTAAACACCTCGGGGTTGTCACGTTCCGAGGACACCGTTCCTGGTCGCACATTCATTCTTACTTTTCTTATCAAAAATAGATCTCCACAAATATTTGCCTCAGAACCGTAAAAACCCCACTCAATTACCTGCCATAAAGAACATATTGATGCTGTTTGTCATTTAGTCTCGTGGGTATAACAACATCAAACCGTGTAAAACAATGTATTAAATGCGTGTACTCACATCAGTGTCGGGCCCCTTGTCAGCCCCAGGACAAGAGAAGGTAACGAACTCATGGCACCTCTTATGAACCACAAAACAGCAAACTGGTAAAAAGAAAAAAAAAAAAAGGGAAACCAACAGTTAGAATGGCACAGGTTTGGTAGTGTTGTTTTGGGGTTTTTTTTATCTTTTCAAATAAATATAATTACTGAAGAAATAAAACTTTTAGTCAAATATTTCACCTGTAAGTCAACAAAAGAAAGCAGAGCCTCCTCTTAAGTAAGATACAAGACACCAAGTAAACACTATAATTAAAGAGGAGATAAGCATGCACATTTAAAAAACAAAAGACTGTATACAATGATACATTTTTAATGTTTAAAGCAGCCCACAGGGTTTGAATATAGTGTGGGATGACAATTCTGTGAAGCCACATTTCCTGAATCTAAATCCCTGTCACAGGGACTGTCAATGTGCACTCAGCAAGAGCAGGAGGCAGAAGCCAGGAATGTTAAGCTGGAATGAAACCCATCCTTGGGTGTGGGATTGGTTCACCTGAATGCCTTGGTGAAGGTCTCTATCCAATGTCTTTAGTTAATTATTTCTGTGAGGAACCAAAGCTCTGAGTGAAGCCTGTTGTAGAGAACGGAGTGTTCTCATATCACAGGATGGCAGGAGATAATGGGAAAAGAAAATGAGCTCCTGATTGCAATATGAATGCCATTTAATATTTATGAATGATCCCAAAGAACTTTTTCTTTCTGAGATAAGAAAAGCTTATTTTAATTCAACTATGCCATGGGACTGAGGCTATAGGTTGTCCCAGACAGGTACCTCCAAACCACATAAAAAGAACAATTTGCTTGAGTGTGCTTACTTTAAGAAGTCAGTATTTCAGCTTTTCACCCTCACTATGGGCTCTTTCTTAATGTTAAGCTTAGTTCAGGTATTTCAAAACTGGTCCACATTTGAACAAAACAGAACAATTGAGATTTGAGACTGAGGAACTCTGGTACTAAACACCGTGGCATCAAGCAGTGAGTCAGGAGAGCAGAATGAAGTGATGCAGAAGTAATTCACAATTTCTTTACAGATAATGCATTTCCTGTATACCTCGAATTTTGCATTTCCAACACATAAAAATACATTATTTCAAAGGACTCTTCTAAAGAATAAAACAGACTTGAATTAACTGACAATTGCAAACACGGAATTTCCTCAACTTCGGGGGAAACCATAATAAATCATCTCAATTGTTCTGAAGAGCTCACTTCACCAGGCAACTTTAACAGTTCTCTTTCCCACTTAAAATGTCTATGACTTGATTTCACCTAATGAAGAGCTGAGAAAGCTGCTTTCAAGTGCCCTGCCTGTCACTGCAGGGTAGAACCACAATTCCACCCTAATGCCAGGCCGGCCTCGTTCACATCCCCGAGTCGCCCGTCCAGCTTTAAAGAACTCTAATCACCCTTCTGTCTCTCTCCAGCTCTTCTCCATCAGCATCCCATGCAGCAATTGTTTCCAACTGTTCTATTTCTGACATGGCATATGTTTATTCTTTGGGCAAAGGGAATGAAGTGGGCTTTGCTCCACTGATTCCAGATAAGCTCTGCCGACTTGCCATGAGCCAGAGTTCTGGCTCAGTGTCTGCTGCCCACTCGGTCGTCTGGTTTGTTAATCAATCTAAATCCCAATGAATCCTACAATTATCATTTTGATGGTTTGTTTCTACCAACTGGAAGATCACTAAGTGGCAATTACCATTAATATTACTTGCAGCTGAAACATGTTTTACTTTCAAATGATATTTTTGGTTCCAAACCTTCCACTCTCAAAGACAAAAGACTGATTTGTGTTCGCAGGAATAAATCACATGCAGGAAAAAAAAAAATCTTGGTATATCCTTCAGAAAACAAAGGAGTTAACTAATTACTTTTGTATGCAGTGATCATACAGTTGCAAAATATAATGTGATAATTTATGCAAAAGTTCTGAGAAATACTATGGGAACATCCAGAAAACTTGTAGAATAGAGCCTGCTGTTCAAATTAGGACCTTAAAGTGGCTACTCCAACTCTGCCTTTATTCAGCAATGTATGTTATGGAAACTCTGCATATTTGGGCAATTCTTTTGGGCAGGATTTATGAAACACCATAGTCACATCTTATCTCTGAGCTGGCAACATCTCACTGCACGATAAGGAACTCATTCAACCAGAGACAATGTCGACCTTGTTTTAAATTCCATATAAGCATCAAGATAAATACGTAGGAAGAACAGTGCCACTGTTTTCCACGGCCTCATTCCGTGGCTCTGAACTTTAGCTGTTAACTTCCTTGGAAATGATGCTCATCACACTGCAGTGAAACCACAATTCAGCTGCCAAAATAAGTAAACCAGAGAGATTTGTCCTTTCGGACTTTGGGTGCACCTCAAACCCAGTCACTTCCTAAGGCTTTGATTATCAATGTTCACTACTGAGCTCTTAAAGCTGAACTTCTGTTCAGCCTAATAACAGACTGACTAATGTGGGCACCTGAACACAGGCTGTATAAACTCTTTTCCTCTTATTTCCCATTTGTAATGGCTTATTTATCTCCAAAGAACTTGGTTCCTTAGTAAGTGATCTGAATGCATCAGCCCTCTCTGATCTTCAGAGAATACTCAAATGAGAACCAAATAGTTTGACATAAAAATAAACAATGGAATAGGCAGCTCTCATGGACTCATAAATCTAAAGGGAAAAGAACAAGGGTGAACTGAAATCCCTTGTTAGCAGCTGTCATCTCCATACATAAAATTTAACATCCAAATTTTCATGTTGAAATCCAGCCATTAGAGTGTATTTTAGCACTAGTTTTTCAAGTTTTCTTTACTTCACAAAGCAACACAGATCTGGAGGTTTCATGTAAAGATTTACTTAGTTCAGATAAGTGCAAACAAAATGTCATCTGCTTAAAATAACATGTCATTTTTTTTAGCAATAGAGATGAAAAATAACCTCTCACTAGTTACTTGTTTTGAAAAGATGTTAAAGAGCTTCACATCACTTTATTGCAGCTGTTAAGAAGTCGCATTATGTTCACCACCTTCATGTAATGAAGGTTATGTTGCACTGCTTTGCAGAGGCTGCCAGGAAATGTGTTGCTTTACATTTTAACATGATCCCAGTCGAAGGGAGCTGGCACAGGCTGTGCAGAGTAGCTCGAGAGCAAAGTGGCATCTCGAGGCTGACAGCTAAAATTAAAAAGAAAATTATTGAGGTCTCTTCATGCTTTGACAGCACGATTTTAATCTGTGAATGTATATACATATATATATATAATATGGATGTGAGCTTCAGTCCTTTGGGCTTGCTGGAGACAAACCCCTCTCCCTGCAGCCCAGGGAGGGACGGAGAGAACAAAACAGGCCTTGTGTTGCAAAAACAGACCAACTGCTGGCTCTCTGCTGGCATGTGGCACCCACCAGGCTGCTCCCTGCCCTCCACTCTCCCAGCAGTGCTGCAGAGAGCACAAAATGCTAAATGGACAGCAGGAAAACAAGGAAGAATGTGGGAAGGAGCACTCAGTGCATTCTCAAAGCAAACAAGCAGAAGATGCACGACAGGACTTGTAGGATTGATGGTACATAATGGAGGGCAATTCATTCTATTCAACACTGTTCTGTCCAGGCACAATGCTGAGAAAAACAGGTTGTTATTAATAATATATATGTGTTGTCATCACTTAGAGTTACAAGGCTGCTGTAAATTTCCAGCTGTTTTCTAAATTATGTGATGTGCAAAGGTTATTGTGATATATTGTTGGGTTAGAGTCATCTGCCCAGAAATACTGTTTTGAGTTGCTTTCATGTATGACAGGGAGGGATGAGACAGAAATGAGATATTACAATGATAAATAAGAGAAATAGAAGCAATCTCCTCTATTAGATGATCCATAAAGAAGAAAAGCCATTGCTGAGCCCCAGTTACCCACACATCATTTAGCCATATGTCTGAAGAGCTCCATAACCACAAGCATTCCAAGGAAAAATATCAAGACAAAAGTCATATGCATTTGGGAATTATTAAAAATGGTCAACAGATTTTTTTTTTTTAAATCACTTGTATCGTCCTACTTTTGTAAGAAAAACAACAGGTTAGATGAGCCTTTCCAATAGACATGAATATCTCTACTACACCACAGTATTCATGTGCTCAGTAAGACAAATTAAGGTGCAAACCCAAAGGGTGGAGAGAATATATATTTCTCAGAGTCAAATTGAACAGCCAGTTACCAATACAGATAAATAAGTGAGGGTTTTTCTCAAGTCACCTTTGACTCATTTTTGCAATCATAGAATTATTAAGGTTGGAAAAGATCACCAAGAGAATCAAGTCCAACCTTTGAACAAACACCACCGTTCCCACCAAACCGTATCGTGACATGCTGGTGCTCAAGACTATTCTCCCAACTCAGATGATGAATTTATAAAGTATTAACCACTGTAAAAATTGTGTGGGCTCGATGATCTCAGAGGTCTTTTCCAGTCTACTCGATTCTGTGAGCTGTGAAGCTGTGGCTCCACTATCATGCCATTATTAGCTGCCCAACCACAACAGGTACACGGATTTTGCTACATAATTTGTTTCCAGGTTTCAAGTATTGATCCTTCCAAAGGAAGCAGCCAGAGAGGCCTCATTAGCAGCAACAGGGAAACAACTGGGTGTACACTCAATATTTGTTGTTGGGCTTCTGCTTTTGGGTTTTAAACAAGAATTGATTCAGAACCGGACTGAGGAGCTACCAAGGAAGCACGAAATCCTCTCTGTGTTACTCTCAGAGGGGACCAAAGGACTTCCAGGGCCTCCACGGGAGCTCAGAGCAGGGAGCAATTGTTGTGTTGCTGTTTCACATGCTTTGCATTTTCAGAGAGGCCACAGAATTTCCCCAAGGGGCCCATATCACTGCCTGGCTGGTGTTTCCTGCACACCACTGAGCAATGAATGAATGTGTCACATGGCACGTGTTAGTTCATGCTAAGGTTAAATATAGCAATCACAATAAACCGAAATAGGGTATTACCTCCTCAAAATAGGCTAATCGATGAAATGCCAACTCCATTTGT